TAAAAATAATTGACAGCTATAGGAACAAAAATTAGGGTCAGATTACATGCACTAGGTGCCAATATATTACATACATTAGGATTTGGAAATAAAATGTACAAGCTCCTCACTAAAACAATATCCAACATAAACCAATACGTAACAGTTTACCTGGTAAGAACACTTATGAGAGAGATCTGGAAAACAGTCATTTCCATACTTCAGGAGCACTTCAGATCTATGCTCCTGTCAAACTAGAGTATCTGCATTTCAATACCATGTGAAGAAAAAAAGTCCAGAATTATTTTATTGAATAATCATTAATTGAAACAAAGACTTTACTAAGACTTAACCAACAAAAACCTATTTATTTATTCCAAACACCAAGATACACAAGTTTTCAAGTTTTGCAAATATTGCTCCAAAGCAAAATTCTATATACAGCGCCCTCGGTTCTAATAGTGCATAAACAAAGACAAATATACTTATGTATCCCACAGTGCAATATTTGCTCATTTCATCAAGGCTCCACGTTGCATTCACTTACCAGTGATTTAAAGAAATTAAAAAAAAAAAAGTGACCTGCCAGACCAAACTGTTGGTCCAGACCAAGAAATAACAATGTGGAAACTTGCAAAAACAGGGACAAAAATGAATCCAGGCAGAGCACAATAAAGAATCTTTCCTGAACATGAGAAATGCTACTGTATTTTAAATAAATATTTTCAGTCTTTATCTGCAAGGGCTTCCCTAGCTCTACTAAAGGAAAACAAGTCTCCAGTATTTGCCATTTGATTCACCCACCAGAACCGCCTTTTCTTCCAAATCTTAAGTACTGCCCTGAGCAAAAATAAACTGGCAAAGTAAAAACGTACAATGAACACACAAAAAGCAATTGCTTGGGGAGGAGAAGTTGCACTCTGGAGTGAAAAGCGTGCTCAGGAATTTAACTGCTTCCACGCACTCAAAGCGTAAGCACAGCTGGCTTGGTAACAACGCAGCCATGTTCTTGGAGAGACGCCCAGTCGGAGTGCTTGCTTTACAGATTTCAACCAGGGAACACCTTTCTGGTCGATCTCCCCGGAAAAAAACCCCAAACCTGTCTGGGGCTCTCCTCCTGACGCCGTTTGGTTGTCCGGTTACTGCCGCCTGGTTCTAGAGCTACACAGAGCTGTACGTGAATTCAGGTGTCACTCACAGGAATGAGACAAGGCGTAAGCATTGGTCTCATCTTCGGAGAGCAAAGTGATTCTTAAATATCATGTAAGCTTTATTCCAATTGTGTACAGAAAAATAAGTTTATTTTTCTGCTGTACATATGTTGTATTCACTATATACCAACTAGTACTATAAAACTGTGAGACAAATTATTCCCTGAAAGTAGTCTTGGCACAAAAGCCTCAGTTACTACCTAGAGTAGCCTAATTATTTTGTTTTCTGAAGGAAATAAAATATTCACTGTGTAGATACCATTAACTCCTACAATAATATTGGGTATTTCAAGTTTACATTATTCTTTGCAGTATACAAACATTACAGATTCATATCCAAAATTAGTAATTTGTACAGTTATGGGCCTTTCAATTACAACTGTGCTTAGATTTTACGCTTTGGTGGTACCATCACACACAATAAAATCAAGGTAACAAACCCAGCTTTTTGAGGACACCCTCTCACTGCAAAAACAGCTTACCACTTTCCACAGCGAACTTAACTCAGCAACATTTGGGAAGGAAAACTAAAGTCACAGCCGTTATTTATGGAGCTATGATCTGCAGCTGAAGTTTTCATATACTTACAATATACACCAACATTTCAAAAGGTACTGTGTAATGTGACTTGAACATAAGCAGCATTTCACCTTGCTCTCAAAGTAATACAAACCAGAAAATTAAAACTTAAGGTATAAAAAGGGACTTTCTGAACATACACCGTTTAAGATAACCCACTCACTGTCTGCGAGGACAGTACCTCATGCATAGATCTTGAGGCTTTATTTACACAAATATAAAATAAACTGATTCCCAAAACCACACATTCATAGAGTAAGTCTTTACAAGGAACACGTTCAGAGTATTGAAAAAAGTCTACATTTCAAAGTGTAACCGGAATGGCAATTATTAACAAATGAGTAGAAAACTACATAACGTCCATCACAGACCTTGTTGAAGTCTGGAACTCCGCACCTACGGTTCTCCCAGCGGTATTTCATACAGCTGCAACAAGGGTGTCCCACCAGCACTGCTTCAGGAGGCACAGCATGGCCGTATTTAAGAGCTCAAGAATGCACATAAACACAACGCCCGTGGGTTTCCCCAGTACCAAATCAGGTAATAGTGACAGGATAAATATGGAAAACAATCATTTATTCTGAAATTAAGTGCAATCCACCTGTGACCTTCTGCTACATTACTTAACATCACAGAAGTGGGGGTTAGGCCACTGTTACTTGCAAACCTCCATGTAACAGTTCATAGTTAAGAGCTGGACATTCATACTCACTAAGTCTGAAAACTGTTATAACATTTCCTAATGATTAAATACTGTGTGCTATTATGCATAAACCAGAAGGAATAAAACATGACACAAGTCACTTAAACTATGCAAAGTTATTTACAACCTCTGTCAACTAAACATTTTTGGCTCTTAGAACTCTGTTCTTCAGTGGCACAATTTTTAGTCAATTTTAATTATCAAAAAGTCTACCGTTTCAATGAGCAACTTGTAAGGAGTGAAAATTTAAGTATAGTTTATCAACCAACACCCAACCTCTGAAGACAACAGTATGACTTCTTCCGTATCATTTTAATTGCCTAATAAACGTGAAATTATGAGATAAAATAACCTTTTTGCTGTTCTTTGAACAGCACTTCTTCACAAATCCCTGAAGTCAATCTGCACCACATGCAACCAGCATGCTAATTTCATTTAAATATACAGAGCTGTTCACATCAGATGCTCCAACTTCACACTCAATAACAGTCTCCAACATTTTCTAGTCTCACGTTGAGCAGCAAAGTGCAATCTGTTGCACTTTGCCTAGGTCCGTTATAAGCTGCTTTATACAATGTTTGAGTTGTGGGAGTCGTGCTAGTGGTTCTGGTGGTTCCAGCTCTCCTGTATAATCCAGCCAACTCTCCAAAACTGCAAAGAAAAACAAAACTGTCACTATTCCAGTTCTCAGCAAATAGACCTCCTTAAGTCACAAAACAGGAATTCTTTAAATGTTTCATGAATCCTGAGACTGGTGGGCAATATTTTTAACATGTGATGTTTGAGAAATCAGAAAACCAGGCTCCTCACACCAATCTTTGCAGAAAAAAAGCAGATGTTCCTAAGAGAATGCAGGGAAGGACAAATCAGGACTAGATATTGTAAAATCTGGTGCTGAACCTCCTCTGCTCTGTATCAATTCCAGAGCAAGGACACTGCAGTATGGAAGTTTATACCATCAGAATACCTTTAAGATCAGCATTAGATGCAACTACACAGTGTTTTCATTGAAGACCCTAAAAGGACAGGACTATGCTAATGAAAGCAGTTTGTCATCAATACAGAATACAATTGGCCAAGACAGAAAGAACGAGATACCATAAAATGGGGATGAAATCCAAAAGCACAAACAGCAGAGTACTGCACAAAGAAAATGAATTCCTGCTCTAAAGGTTCTCAGCAGGA